TTGTATAGAACTTTGGCTTTACTGAGATTCAAGTATCTCAATGAACAAAAGCGCCACCTGTACAATTTGCACATCTGAAACTTTAAACAATACTTTTTCTAGTAGGTAAATCAATCTGAAATTCGAAATTCTAGTTTTTTAGTTTTACTTCACAACTAACGTTTAAAGACATTTGTATAGAACTTTGGCTTTACTGAGATTCAAGTATCTCAATGAACAAAAGCGCCACCTGTACAATTTGCACATCTGAAACTTTAAACAATACTTTTTCTAGTAGATAAATCAATCTGAAATTTGAAAACGTTTTAACACCTTTTGATATAACTACAACTATCTACAAAAATCGACGTTTTAAACACAACTCCCTACAACATCGACGTTTTAACACCAATGGATATACAAACGAACGGAAATTAGAGTTCTTTACAATAAGTGTAAACGTTTCATGTTTCTAGAAATATTCAAGTTTTTCTTCTAAACAGAAAACAATTTTTTTTCCAAAGCAAAACCCAATTTTACGATCTTCTAACAAGATAGATCCAACTGGATCTTAGTCAGCAAACTTTATACTACTGGAAGTTTCTTTTGGGAGATTAACCAATAAGGTCCAGTCGCATTTGTTTGATCCCTCCCCTACCGGGAATTGTCCTCCTATAAGATGAGAGAAAGTTTCTTTGAAGTTTACCGAATAATAAAATGTGTTAGCCAGCACACTTCTATATTCCCACTGATTAGACCCAGCAATGTTTCAACTGACAAACGAATAAGTAACAGAAAATCGAATTGGTTGGCTAGATAGGTTTGTTTCTTTGTTTGAAGTTAAGCACAAAGTTACACAATGGGCTATCTGAGCTCTGCCATCTATGGGTACCGAAACCCGGTTTCTAGGGCAGAAATATCGCTGTGCCACTTGGGGCGGCAAGGGAGATAAAAGGGTGGGTAATCCAAATTATCTCTTTGACGTGGCTTCAAAGTCAAGCATTTGTTTTTACTGAGGCTTCAAAGTCAAGCATTTATTTTTACTGAGGCCTCAAAGTCTAGCATTTGTTTTTACTGAGGCTTCAAAGTCAAGCATTTATTTTTACTGAGGCTTTAAAGTCAAGCATTTGTTTTACTGAAGCTTCAATGTCTAGCATTTGTTTTTACTGAGGCTTCAAAGTCAAGCATTTATTTTTACTGAGGCTCAAAGTCAAGCATTTATTTTTACTGAGGCTTCAAAGTCTAGCATTTATTTTTTTACTGAGGCTTTAAAGTCAAGCATTTATTTTTACTGAGGCTTTAAAGTCAAGCAT